TTTTTATTTTATTTTTATGTAGTGCTGAGGATCAAACCCAGTGCCTTGCGCATGCCAGGCAAGCGCGCTACCACTTGAGCCACATCCCCAGCCCAACAAAATCATTTTAAAAAGAAAAATTCAGTGGCATTTACTACTTTTATGATGTTGTGCAACCCCTACCTCTATCTAGTTCCAAAATATTTTCTTCACCCTATAAGGAAACCTTATACCTCATTAAGCAGTTACTCTCCATTTACCATTTTCACCAGCCACTGGTAACCACTAATGGATTTTCTGCCTATATGGATTATGGATTTGCCTATTCTGTATATTCCCTGTTACTAGAATCATACAATATTTAACCATTTGCACATACCTTCTGATGTTTTTGAGGTTCATCCATGTTGTAGCATGTATCAATTTCACAGTCCTTTTTGTGGCTAAATAATATTCTGTATGTATAGACTGCAGTTTATCCATTTATACATCGATGTACATTTGGACTGTTTTCTTCTTGACTATTGTGAATTAGGTTGCTATGTTTGTGTACCTGTTTTCAGGACTTTTGGGTACATAACTTAGGAGTGAAATTGCGGGATCATATAGTAATTCTGTGTTTAACTCTCAGAGGGAACTGCAAAACTGTATTCCACCACACCTGAACCATTTTATATTCCCACCAGCCATGTAAGAGGGATTCTATTTTCTCTAACTCAGGGCCAACACTTGATATTTTGTTTTTGTTTTAATCATATTCATCCTAATGGGTGAAATAATGATACCTCATTGTGATTTTAATTTGCATTTCCTTAATGACTAAAATGTTGGTTTTTTCATATGTTTGTTAGCCATTTGTATATATTCTTTGAAAAAATGCCTACTCAAGCTCTAACTATTCTCCCTTTTGGCTCTAGGTTTTGTTGTTTCTTTGTTTTTGATTGAACCCAGGGGCACTTTACCACTGAACTAGGTCCTAGCACCCCAACCCACCCCCTTATCCCCGCACCCGCGCCCTTTAAATTTTAAGACAGGGTCTGACTAAATTGCTTGGTCTGGCCTCAAACTTGTAGTCCTCTTGCCTAGGCCTCCAGAGTAGCTGGGGTTATAGGTGTGTATAGCTATGCAGCTGCTTAGCTCTAGTTATTTTTATTGAAGTAGTTTAGTTAATGTAAGGCAAAGAGCAAAGTCTACAACTATGCCTTGATTTCTTTTATCTTTTTTTGTGGTGCTGAAGATCAAACCTTTATTTATTTTTAAATTTTTATTTTCTTCAGTACTGGGAATTGAACCCAGGAGCTCTCTACATCTGAGCTACATCCCCCAATCCTTTTTTTGAGGCAGTGTATCATTAAGTTGCTGGACTGGAATTTGTGATCCTCCTACCTTAACCTTCTCATTCATTAGCATTACAGGTGTGCACATGTGGCTCTTAACATAAAATTTATCATCTAAATCATTTATTAAGTGTACACATCAGTAATGTTAAATATATTCACGTTGTTGTGAAACAGTCCTCCAGAACATTTTCATCTTGCCAAAGGGTAACTGTATGCTTTAAACATCTCCCCCTGTCCCTGCCTCCCTTGCAGCCCTTAGTAACCATTCTCTTTTCTGTCTACAATTTTGATTACTCTGAATACTTCATATAAGTGGAATTAAACAATAGTTGTCTTTTTATGCCTAGCACATTTCATTGAGCATGAATTCTCCAAGGTTTATCCACATGACAGAATTTTCTTCCTTTTTAAGGCTGAATAAATTCTGGTGTAGTAATTCATTTGTCAGTGGACATTTGGGTTACTTCCATTTACCTCCTAGCTATTGTTAATACTGTGGATAATGCTGTTGTGAAATTGGGTGTGAAACTATCTATTTGAGACTCTGCTTTTATTTCTTTTGTATATATGCCCAGAAGTGTGATTACTGGATTAAATGGTATTCTATTTTTAACCTTTGGGGGAGCCTCCATGTTTTCCACAATGGCTTTACCAATTTACTATCCTACCAAAAGTATGTAAGAAATTGTTTTAGTTAGCTCTTTTGCTGCTGAGACCAAACGACCTGACAAGAACAATTTTAGAGGAGGAAAAGTTTATTTGACGCACACATTTTCAAAGGTCTCAGTCCATGAATAGCCAATTCCTCTGCTCTGGGCTCAAGGTAAGCCAAAATATGGTAGAAGGGTGTGGAGGAAGAAAGCAGCTCAGGACACAGCAAACAGACAGCGAAGAGCAGAGCAAACTCTGCTCTGCAGGAACAAAATACCCCAAAGGCATGCCCTTAGTTACCTATCTCTAACAGCCAAACCCTACCTGTCTACAGTTACCCCACCCATTTAATCCTCCACTGATAAGATTAAGCCTCACATGACTCAAATCATTTCACCTCTGAAAATTCTTATATTTTCTCACATTAGCTTCTAGAGGACACCTCATATCTAAACCATACAGGTGTCTTTGCCGATTTTAAAATTTGGAGTGTTTGTCTTTTTGAATCATAAGAGTTCTTTATACTAGGCCCTAGATATATGAAGTGCAAATAATTTTTCCCATTCTTTAAGTTGTCTTTTTGGTTTCTTGATGCCAAATTTTTTAATTTTGATGTTCTTTTTTTCTAATTTTTATTATGGATCATGTTTTTGGTGTCATTTAATAATACATTGTCTAATGTACTATATATTTCAGAGAAGCTAGAAGAAAGGATATTGAATGCTTTTACCATAGAGAAATGATGTTTGAGGCAATAAAAATGCTTACTTGATTTGAACATCATAAAATGTGCACATGTATTAAGAAGCATCACATAATACCATAAATATGTACAATTTTATGTGTCAACTTATAAAGTACATTGCCAAATTCATAATCATAAAAATTCATCCCTACAATTTCTTTTCTTTTTCTTTTGGTACTGATTGCTTAGGCCCTGACTAAATTACTGAGCCTGATTTGCTGAGATTATAGGCATAGGCCACCATGCTCAGCTCTAATCTAATTAAAATGTATCTCTATCTTATGGTTTTAGTTCTTACATTAGGTCCCTTATGGATTTTGAGTGTGCTTTTGGTTTTGTTTTTGATAAGGAGTCTTATCATGTTGCTTAGGCTTGCCTCAAACTCCTGT